TACCTTTTTGGAAACTTTATGTTTGGGAACCATACTGGACAAAATGTTGGAAACAAATATTTTTGTTTACTAATTTTATCATTAAAAAAGTCTATTTTTACCACCTACATTATAAATTTACCTATTACTTTAAAGTTATTGAATTTTGTAGTTATTCTACATACCTAAATATGGAATGGCCATTCAGTCCCGCACATGATGACAATTATGTTAGTGACATTTGGAATAATACAGACAACGATCTCCATATATCGTAAGTATCAACATGACTCCTACTGTGTATAAGAAACATGTACAAAAACCTATTGCTAACTTTTCTCATCTCATACATAATTACATTCACATACAAAATTATAAATCGTATACAAAATTATAAATCTTATACAAAATTAACCCTACATTTACATCATCGCTTCCTTTTGTTATTCTTGTATCTCATGGCATCTTTTGCCATATCATCTCTTAGTTTATTTTGATTGTGGCTCACGAGATTGTTTAATATTCGCATACGATCCCATTATCCAACAACCTATATTAAAATTGTCAGTACATTAAGTATTATAAACCACAACATTCAATCTAAGAATTTTAACAATTTAACCGCAAACTAACTTTTAATTCTACTTACAAAATCACCAGTTGCCCCTCTAGAACCGATCGATTCCATTCGCATCATCACATAAATGCCACAATCATATCTGTTACAAAATTTGAATACCACACATGTCAATTATGAAACCTGCATAAATTAAGCTTTCTATTTATGATAACATCTCATACCCATTCAATTGCTCTTTCATCTTATGCTCCAAATATTTGAAATTTTTCAAGGGGACCTTCCCTAGAGAGCCACATGCTTCTACCCAAATGCGTTTCTTATTATAACTATCTAATATTAAGGTTGACTTATGATTTTATATACATGTAGATTCTCTTCATCTAACTCAGGGTTCTTGATCACGTAGTAAGCTGTCTATTTTATAGGTGAATGGTAGTTGGATCGGCCGTTAACTACTTTATTGGCTACACGGGTGACTTACGTGCTTCGTTTCACTGAAATTTGAATCCCAACACAAGTCAAAGCTACGGGTTTGTCTCACAAAAGGAGGACTAATATACGATTAATATACGGTGTGACCGGATACATTAAAAGATATTTAACAAAATCAGTTTAGCGCTACCGAAAATATTGAGTAATAATAATGTTGTAGGTGGAAATCATGAAGAAATATTAAAAAATTTGGCAACCGAAAAACTTAGCTTGTCTGTTTGTATCGATACAAATAAAAAATGTATCGATCCATAGCAATAGAACAGGTAAAAATATGACAAAACTGGTATCGAAATGACAAAACTGGTAAAGCGCTACCAGATATGTTGAAAGTGTCGATACTTTAGTATAAGTATCGACACTTTTGGAATTTAAAAGAGAAGCAATAATAGCGCCTATAAAGTGTCGATACTTTATAAAAATGTATCGATCCATAACAATATAACAGGTAAAAATATGATAAAACCTGTCTCGAAATGACAACCGGTAAAGTGCTACCGGATATGTTGAAAGTGTCGATACTTTAATATAAGTATCGACACTTTTGGAATTTAAAAGAGAAGCAGTAATAGCGCCTATAAAGTTTCGATACTTTATAAAAATATATCAATGTATAACAATATAACATGTAAAAATATGACAAAATCGGTCTCAAATTGACAAAACTGGTAAAGCGCTACCAGATATGTTGAAAGTGTCGATACATTAATATAAGTATCGACACTTTTAGAATTTAAAAGAAAAGCAGTAATAACGCCTATAAAGTATCGATACTTTATAATGTATCGATCCATAACAATATAATAGGTAAAAATATGACAAAACCAGTCTCGAAATGACAAAACCGGTAAAGCGCTACCGGATATGTTGAAAGTGTCGATACTTTAATAAGTACACGTAATAAATTATCGATACTTTTAAAGAAATAGGTAAATATCCTATCGAAAGTATCGACACCTGACATAAAAGTATAGACACTTGGGTTATTGTATCGATTAAATATAAATAACATATCCGATGAAAATATAAAGGGCATAGCTAAATTTCCTCTGAAAATAGATAGAACACGGACGAGTTTTTGAAATCGAAGAGTAATTGTTGCTGCATTTCAGAAGGCATTTCTAAAGCGAAGTTTGTTTGTTTGTTGTTGCAGTCGAATTGAAAAGTACGTTGTCGAAACCCTAGTTTTTTATTATTACAATAATCGTAATTATGGTTTTTATGTGTTATTTGGGGTTTTCTAAGTAAAGAAGCATTTGAGACCGATTACAGGTAAAAAGTGATATTCTAGGTAAAATATAAATATCGATACTTTTATTAAATATTATAGGTAGAAAATGATATTATAGGTTGTATAAATGTGCCGATACTTGGAGTATTGAGTGTTCCCATTCGTTTAAAGGAAATAGGGATTAGGGATTTTTGGTTTGGTTTGGGGATTTCGAATCAAAGCCAAGAAGGATTTGTGATTGATTTTATAATATTATAGGTAGAAAATAAATATGGATATCTGTATATAATATTATAGGTAGAAAATGATATTGTAGGTTGTATAAATGTGCTGACACTTGTTGTAGTGGCCATTCAAATTCTTTTGAAGGAAACCATTTACTACAAGAGTAGTTATCGATATTTGTATATTGAATAAAGTGTATGTAACCAGTATTTGATTTGATTTGCGTACACTGATATATGAAGGAAAAATGAAGTCAAAGGATCTTGGAATTGTTGGTGGTGAAGATGACTTTGAAATTGAGGCCGAGAGTCGAAAGCAACCAAAGGGTGGATATATGTACTTCTAGTAAGTATCAATGTCTTTTTGTTATTATTGTTGAAATGGTAATCGAATTAAAGTATTTAAGAACTTTAAATTGATTAAAATATTTAAATGTTGACAGTATGACCAAATGCCAAAGGATGAAAGTTCGGTATGTAAATTAAAATTGACATTGAGTATTATTTAGCGTTAATGTATTGATTAAAAAATGTTTATGCTTAATATTATGTGAGAAATGATGTGTTGGAGAAATGAAATTCGATGAGTGATGTTGAGAAGGAACCTTACATCGCATAGTCAAAGATGGATAGTGAAGAATACAAAGAATGGAGGAAAGCACATGAAAAGAAGGTATTCATTAAACTTGTAAATATGTTGATACAAGATATATAAGAACAATAACATTATATATTGTTAAAAAATGTAATAAGTGTCGACAAGGTGCAACATAAAAAAGGTGAATTCATTAATTGAACACCTTAAGGAGAAGGATCAGTTGAATGTGCTGGAAGAAATGGGGTTTAGATCATTGGTAGGAGTAAGGGATCGACCTATTCGGAGGGAATTGTGTCGATCCTTGATGGAGCAATTTGATGTCCAACAATGTATTGCTAAATATGGTGATTATTCATTTCCTCTGGGGGTCCCATGTGCTGCAGTCATCTTGGGGGTAGGAAATGAAGACAAAAGTGTTGTAGAAGTCTCTAAGAGTAAGAACTTGAAAGCATTTACCTCCAAATATGGTTTGAAGCAGAAGGTGACATATGCTGAACTTGAAGAGGAAATCAAAAGTGGATCTTACGAGGGGATGATCTGAAGGCTCAAGTTCTATTGTACCTTGTCGGGATCTTTCTTTGTCCAACGGGTGATACGTCAATGAACAAGGACTATATGAAGCTGATTTGCCATGAAGGCTTGAAGGGTGAATTCAATTGGGCTGAATATGTCCATTCGAGATTTATTGAATCAATAATCACCTTTAAAAAGGCAGTCAGAGATACCTCAAAGGGTGCATAGTAATCTTAGAGGTAAATGAGTTAAAGAATGTTTTCTTTTTTTTATATATAAAATGATAGTATAGTTATTATATAAAATGATAAATTTTATTATAAATGCAGTTTGCACTGTTCAATTTTTGGTCGGGCTGTGATAGTGTGCCGGCTTATGAAAGAACCGAGTGGCACGCATCCGTGCATGGGGGAAGGAAGAGGTGGTTAGAGTGATGGCGAAGTTGAAGTTGGATAGACCGAGGAAGTAAGAAAGGGTAATAAATGTAATTAAATAATATTAAGAATATAATCAATGCATTAATATTGTAATTTAATTTTGAAGGTTATTGGCAAGGAGGTAGAGAAGGTAGTGGAGGCATAGGAGAAGGAAGAAGATATGGTTGTAGGTGGGATGACGGTCAGGGGGATGACGGTAAGGGAAAACATAGTAAATTCGACATTTTGATGTATGAATTGGCTGATATAAAAAAATTCCTTTTTGATATTCTGCAAAGACAATCAAGAGTCGAAGAGACACTTGAGAGGAATAAGGGGGAAGTGGGAGGAAAAATAGATGGAGTGGTGAAAGAAGTTGAGGTGTTGAGGGGTGAACTTAATATGGTGACGGGTGGAAAAATTGATGGAGTGGTCAAGGAATTTATGGAATTGAGGAGTGAACTTACGGGGGTGAAGGGGGTGGTTGAGAAAAACTTGGATGGAGGGGAAAAAATGAAGGGTGAAATAAAAGAGATGAAGAGTTATGTAGAGAAAATATACGATGTATTGAAAAAATATGAAGAATAAAAGATGGAGGAAGAAGAAAAGATGGAGGAAATGAGGAGGAAGGATGTCAATGTGATCTATACACTGGAGAGTGTTATAAATGCAGATTTGGATTCAGAATGTCCTGCACCCAAGAAGAAGCAGAAGGTAAGCTGAATAAAAGAAAACTTATTTTGATTTTTATTATGTTGTTATGACAAAAAATTGTATGCAAAATTGTAGGTTGAAAAAGCGGAAATTCCAAGCGGAATTGGTGAGCTCGAAGCTGCAATGTGTGATTATTTATGGAATAGTGGGTTAGAATCGTCTTAAGTGAAATATATTGCTTTGTGAGTGATATTTAAATATTTCATGACAAGATATTAATCGTAATGATTCATACAGATCTTCTGTAATCGCAATGGGAAAGCAATACGTTTGTGTATCCGACGTTGTAACGTTGAAGCCTATGGAATGGGTTGGTGGTGCGGTAAGTAGAAAGTATAAAATGTTAAAACCTATTGAATATGTTCTGATTGTATAATTAATTTTGTTAGGTTATTGATTTGCTCGGCTGGACATTATGCTACGATTCGAAAAATTTACTTGGGAGGATTGACTACATTCTTTACCACTTAGCGGTGAGTTAAATTAATAAATGTTGAAAGTAGTGTTATAGACATTAAATTAATAATGATTGTCGCGTAATTGCAGCAACAGGCGTTGGAGGCCAACAACAAAGTAACTGTTGAGGGTATTGCGAGCTTTTGGGGTCCCATATTGGATAATTATGTGAAATTCACCGAATGTGACATGGTAAGACACCATACGAATTGCAAATGATATTTTCGGATATATAATGTTGAATTTTGTCAAATAGGGTGTGAAATTTGTTGCAAATCCTGATCACAATAAACTACCATAATTCACATTGGTATCTGTTAGTGTTGGATATGATAGAACATATTGCAACGGTATATGATAGTCTGTTTTCATCTGAAGCAGCTAAACAGAGAGTGAATGATGCTAAGAGATTGGTATGTATGAATAGAAATTATGTAAATTATAATACAAAATTTATTTGGATCATAATTTGATATTTTTTAATGCAAATGAAAATAAATCAAGATTCCAGTAAGTGTTAAAAGCACATTCCTTTTTTGTGTTTCTTTATGTTGACTGAAAACTAAAAGAAAGACCAAAAAGAAAATTTAATAATGCGATCATCAGAGAGGATCACAGGCGTGTCATTGGTTCATTGCTCATCAAGCTGCTCTTAGAACGCGGTTATGTCGTGGGCGGTACTGTATGGTGTTGGTTGTGCACAAAGGGTTAAGGGCACTCATTTCACTTTGAGAAAGAAAATGTCTCTGGAAAGATATTTGAAGTGGAATTCTTTCCCTCATTTAGTTAATGCAGTGAAATAACTCTCCTGCACGTGCGCACCATTGTTCGACCGGTCCAATTCGTAATTGTTGTGATATGTATATTTGATATGTTTGCACGTATTTTATCTTTTTAGATAATATGTAGAATAATTTCTTTAAAATTATTTTTTGTAAAACTAAAATGTATTTCTTTAAATAATATTTATTTAAATCATATTTATAGGCATAATGAAAATTTTCAAAGTGGCAAATTAAATTGTTGAAATTATCTGTAATTAGTTGACCACTATTAATTTAGAATAAAATTTGCTGTGAATTTACAACTATCACAACTGTTAATTTCTGGAAATTTGATGATGAATTTCCATGGTTGAACATAGACATCTTTGAGTCTAACTTTGAATCATAATTCTTGTATACAACAGATTAATTGTTGATATTATCAGCTAATCAACTAGCCTTATTTTAGCTAATATAATAGTTATTTTAACAATTACTTTTTTGTTTGAATCTAGACTTTTTTGAGGCCAGATTCAGCCGGCTATAACAGATGAATTACAGAAATTAATTACCTGTTAATTTTGAAAATTAAATCAGTGTTTATGACTGATTAAATTTGACGATTTTAACCTTATACTATAGCCTATAAATAGATGATCATTTCAGCATTTCTACTCACTCAAATCATTCTGATTTTGCTTTCCTAAGCTTTGTACTCTCTAAAATACTTTCTCAAAGTATCTCATTTTATTTTTCGGTACTAAGAGAAAAGCAATACCATCGTTTCCACTCCGATTTTCAAGTGTACAATTATTCGGAGCTATCGTGTTAATCTCGGGGATGAACGCCAAACGCATCGATTACACACATTGAGATGAAATCATTTCTAAAGCAGTGTTTTAATACCATGATACGATTTCTTTATCTATTTTTATTTTCGTTAACATTACCTAATCGGTGCTAACTATTTTATCTTGTAGTTTCTTACCAACATGCGGGACATGGTTGTATGATTTAAGCATCACTTTTAATTTTAAAAAAATAAAAAAAGAGTAGTATAGCAATGCATTAATTGTTAATCTCCATTTTTTTTTTGTTTTATCAATGGAGCAGATAACTTGAAGAAGGTGAAATATTTACTAGAACTACCTAAAGCGAAGACACGCTTGACTCTTTGGAAAGCAGATTTAGGTGAAGAGGGAAGCTTTGATGATGCAATTCAAGGTTGTACCGACGTGTTCCATGTCACCACACCTATGGATTTTGAGTCCAAGGACCCCGAGGTATATTATTACAGAAGCTGGTTTAGCATTTGCTGGCTTGGATTGAATGATTATGTTCCAAGCTGATGGCTTTGGTCTCAATTGCAGAATCAAGTTATAAACCAACGATCAATGGAGTGTTAAGCATCATAAAAGCATGTGCCAATGCCAGAACTGTTAGAAGGTTAGTATTCACATCATCTGCTGGAACCATTGACATTGCAGAACAACAAAAGCCTTGTTATGATAAAAGTTGTTCGAGCGATCTCAAATTTATTCATGACAAAACAATGACTGGTTTGGTTAGTATTTCTTCAATCTTTCCAAATTCGCACCCCGAACAATAACAACTTAGTCAAATTCTTACTCTTTTTCCCCTTGTTGTATAGATGTATTTTGTCTCCAAGACAATGGCTGAGCAAGCTTCTTGGAAGTTTGCTAAAGAAAAAAACGTTGATTTTGTCAGCATAAACAATAGAAAGCCATCGCTGGAGATCGTAGAGACGAACGGAGTAAACCTGAGTCAACGAAACTATTATTCAGTTATGAGAATGAACGAGCGAACACGAAAAGAAATGGAGAAAGAATGAAAATGTAATCTGAATTTTATTAAAACTAATCTGCCTTACAAACATAATCATGGATCATATTTATAGCCCAATACGATTACAATGGCCTCAATGGCCTTACGGCATAACAAACTAGCCTAACCAAGACTACCATCAATATTCAACATATCCTAACATTTTCCTGGTTTTTCCTTTTCCAAACTTCAGGCAGAGAAACTACATTGAGATACAGACGCAATTGCTTGAACTGTGATGGAGGGATCAGTTTGGTGAGAACATCAGCAATTTGCTCCGCTGATGGTAGATAATTAACCAAGAGTTGACTAGTTTACACTTTTTCTCGTACAAAATGAACATCGATCTCAACATGATTTATTCTAGAATGATTAGTGGGATTAGAAGTCATAGACACGGTGGAAGAGTTATCACACCAAACAGTGGGTTTTCATTCTATAGGCACCCCAATTTCTGCTATCAACTGTTCTATCCATACAAGTTCGGAGACAGAGTTAGTCAAGCTTCTATATTTAGCTTCGAAAGTCGACCTTGAGACTACGCTCTGCTTCTTGGAACACCATGATATTGGATTCCCTCCAAGATAAATGCAGTAGCCAGTCATCGACCTACGATCTTCTATTGAAGCTGCCCAGTCTGCATCAGTGTAGCATACCAAATTAAGGTTGATATACCCATCCCTGAGTGAGTGTCCCACATAAATAACGAAGAATTCACTTAATTGTTGTCTAATGTGAGACACAAGAATTATTCATATATTGACTGACCTTATTCACCGCAAAAAGCAATGTCAGGCCTTGTTAGAGTAACATATTGTAATCGTCCGACAATGTTGTTGTAAAGATGAACATCATCGAACCTTTTCCCCTCATTAGACACCAACTTAAAGGTAGCCACCATAGGAATAGGTGTTGGACTTGCATGATGAATATTAGATTTATGCAGCAATTTGGTAATATACATTCTTTGATTGAGATTCAATCTTGCAGCACTTTTTTGAATCTCCATTCCAAGGAAAAATCAATTTGCCACATATTAGAAACTAGAGTTTCAAGAAGCAAGAAGAATATAAATCCATAACAGAATTAACAACGAAAGGTAATCTATTTCATTGATACAACACAACTTTTATACAAAGGTTACACAATACAAGTTAACCTATAGCACTAACAACCGCTCATAACAACATGCTAACAACCTGTTAACTATATAACCACCTACTACACATCAACAACAGATTCAACACTCAACATTCTCTCTACTTTTTCTTCCTCCCCAAGAAAAGACTGAACATAAACTTTAGCACGTAAAACTTCAAACCGTGCTACAGCCAGAGGCTTTGTAAAACCTTCAGCAACTTGATGACTACCTGGAACATAATTCACCACCACTTGTTTCAGCGCAACCTTCTCATGAACAAAATGAAAATCAAGCTTTACATGCTTACTCTTTGAATGATAGACATGATTAGCTGTCATGTCCACAACACTGCTATTATCACACTACACAATCGATATTTTTTTCCTTACAACACCCATATCAGTCTGAAGAGCACACACCCACGTTGTTTCAGCAGTAACGTCAGCAACGCTCCTGTATTTAGCGTCCATGGTGGACTTGGAGACTGACTTTTTCTTTCTAGAAGTCCACATGACTAGATTATCACCTACAAACACACAATTACCAGAAATGGACTTGCGATCATAAGAGTTTTCAACCCAATTAGAATAAAAAAATGCTACAACATTGAAGCCTGCCACTGCAGGTGCAATAACCAAACCATGATTAAGTGTTCCTACCAAATACCGTAAAATTATTTTAACATCAATAAGATGTCCTTGCCTTGGGGCATGCATGTATTGTGGAACCTTATTAGCACTGAATGGAATGTCTGGCTGAGTATGACATACATATAGCAGCGCTCATACAATACTGCGGTACTCATAGTAATCCTGAAGCAATGAACCTGCATCTTGAGTCAACTTGCAGACACAAGCATAGGTGTAGAAGCAAAATTGGCATTACACATTTTGGTCTTCATTAGCAATTCTAAACTAAACTTTCGTTGACTAAATATCAATGAACCTCCACACCGTTTAACTTCTATGCCCAGAAAGTAATGAAGATCACCAAGATCTTTTAAAGGAACTCATTCCCAAGCAACTTCACTACTTTTTCAATTTGCACATTCGATTCACCAATCAACACTATATCATCAACATACACAAGTGTATAGAAACATTGACCATCTACCCAACGAAAAAACAATGACATATATGCTGTGGTTCTTTAAAACCAATTCAAACTAGGAAACTCTTAAGCTTGTCGTGCCAGTTCCTAGGTGCTTGACTTAAACCATACAAAGCCTTATGCAATTTACATACCAAAGGACTACCATCAACAGCCACTTGTTCGAACCCAGGTGGCTGTTGCATGAAAACATCTTCATATAGATCACCATTCAAAACTGTAATATTTACGTCCACCTGCGCAACTGCCAACCCTTCGTTACAGCTAAAGAAAGAATAACATTTAGTTTAACAAACTTAACAACTGGGCTAAACGTCTCACTAAAATCATGTCTTGGCACCTAAGAGAATCCTTTTGCCACTAACCTAGTTTTGTATCTGCTAACAGAAACATCTGGGTTCTTCTTTAACTTGAAAACCATTTTCACCCAACCACTGATCGTCTTTTAGGGAGCTTCACAAGGGTCCATGCACCATTCTTCTACAAAGCTTCAAACTCTGTATGAACTGCAACTCTCCAATGAGAAGACTAAAGTGCCTCATATATATTTACATGTTCCGTATCATCATAGCTAGCCAAATACAACTTAGGCTTGAATACACTGTATTTACTTCTTGTTATCATCGAATGTTGATTCAAAGAGATACCACCACCTTTCAACAAATCTTCATCATTATTACCCCTCGTAACAGTTGTTTGTAATGAAGGAGAAACATTGACAAGAGGAACATGAGCTGACACAGACTCCATTAGATTCACCAACTCAGTATCCTCAGCTGCACTATCTAAGGTTACACCAGCAACCTCTTGCTGAACTGCTGCTCCTAGAGGAGTAACACTCGCATCCATATTAGCCTAATACGTCTCACCAGAATCCTTAGCTGCAATATCAGAGGTTGCACTAGTTATCTCTTGCTGAACCGTAGCTCCTAGAGGGGTAACACTTGCATCCACAGTGGTTTGACCCATCTCACCAGAAGATTAGAAGCTTGCACTGCACAAGTTCCATTGGTTTGAAACTGACGAATATCAATCAGAAGTTCAAGTGTTGTTGACTTCTGTTTACAAGACACAGATGTATTACTCGAACCATAACCCCTACAAATAGAAAAACTAACTCATCAAAAATTACATGTCTAGAAACATTTATCTTGCCACTGGCTGCTAGACACATATAACCCTTGTACTGCGGACTATAACCCAAAAAAGTACATGGTTGAGACCGAAACTCAAGTTTATGTTACTGAAAAACTCACAAATAAGGAAAACACTTGCACCCAAAGATCTTCATAAACTCATAATTTGGTTTCTTTCCCCACAACTTCTCGTGCGCTGACAACCATTCAAGACCCTAGTAGGAAGCCGATTAATGATAAAAATCGCAGTAATTACTGCATAATACCAATAACGTAAAGGCATAGCTGTATGACCTAACAACACCAAAGTAACTTCAATGATATGTCGACACTTCCTTTCTACCACACCATTCTGTTCGGATGGTGAGGACAAGCAACATGATGAGTAATCCCATCTTTCAATAGAACAAATGAGAGACTGATATATTCCCCACCCCAGTCGCTTTACACAACCTTAATAGACAAACCAAACTGAGTATAAACCATTTGCTGAAATAACTTGAACACATTCACTGTCTGCGTTCTAGCTTTCAAGAAATAAACCCAAGTATGCCTCGAATAGGCATCAACAAACGACAATTAATAACAATATCCATTAGAAGAAATGTGAGGTGGCCCCCATATATTAGTATAAACAAGTTGAAATGGTTTAGTATATACAATATTAGAGTGAAAGAAAGGCAGTTTATGACTCTTGCCAATACAACAAGCCTCACAAATCTTATTCATAGCTTTGGAAACATGTACAACAAGAGTTTGAAACACACTAACAATAGTATCATACGCTGTATGCCCTAACCTGTTATGCCAAAGACTATAAACATGATCAACCACAATAGTATTAACACAAGTTTTTTTTACAAACACTTGAAGTACTATTATTAGGGAACACATAAAGCCCTTATTTCCATACGCCCTTTAAGAAGCACACCTCGTGTAATGCCCCAAATATCGAATTAGGGACTTTATTAAAATGATTTTAAAATAATAGGATTTATTGAATTAAATGATAAAAGATGAGAATGATTTGGATTAGTGATTTAGACTAAATTATAACAATAGATGGTTTAGAGGGCATTTTGGTCCTTTAAAGAAAAATGAATTTAAAATTATTATTTAGTAAGATATTAAAGCTAAAGGAAAGGGGAAAATAGATATCAAAAGGCTCTTTCCTTTTTCTTCTTCTTTCATGTGGATTAAGCCTCTACCATAGCTCCAAAGGTAAGCTTCAATTAATCAGTTTTTCCTTTTGATTATGGGTTGTTTTTACAACCTTAAGTGGTATAGGAGCTTAAGGAAAGATTTGATGAGATTAAAACTATAAAATGGAGGAAATAATAGAGATTTTAGAAACATGGGTTTTGAAATGATATGTTAATATATGAGTGTTTGTTGATGTTTACAGGTAGATTTCACTTGCCAAAAAAGGTAAATAAGAGATTATAGGAATTGGATAAGATTAAGAACATATTAGGAAAAGTGGTGTGATTCTTAGAATTGAATGTTCTTGAAATATTTTTGATGTTTTAAGAGGTTAAATGAAGGAATATTAGTATGAATAGTTAAAGAAGAGTTTAATAGTATTATATAGTGTAAGTATAACAAAATTTGACCCCATTTGGGTGATAATCGGGATGAAAATAGGAATTTATGGGCACAAGCATTGGTACTGATAGAATAATACCAATACTATAGGCTAAAATGGGATGAATCTGCTTAGTAGTATCAATATTGATGCAATCGGTATCGATATCGAAGGGGGAGTATAGATACTGAAGGGAAGGTATCGATACCATTCAAAAACAGAATGTAAAAATGGTATCGATACCATAGCATAGTATCAGTACCATAGTATGGCAGTATCAATACCATGGTATATGTATCGATACTGAGGAGACAGAAATTGT